TATCTATCTAGACACAATTTTATCAGTCGGACAATTTGGCGTCGTCGTAATTTTCGTAGATTTTGCCTATTACACACACACACTGATAATATTGGCTACAAAAAAAATCGTGATTTTTAACCCATTCAATGTTAAGGTAGAATAACATACACACACACACAACAACAACAACAACAAATCATAATAATTTTGACATTAAATAATTTGACGAATGATTATTTTTTTCTGGTTATTATTGTTGTTGTTGTTGTTGTTATTATCTGATTATGTAATTTTAGCTATTGTAAACTGTCTGTTTGTGTGTGTGTGTGTGTGTTAATTGCAAATCTTACAATTTTCAATGATAAGAAAATGATGATGATGATGTTTTGTGCCATTGTTTGACTACTACCAACTAACTATACTCTAAAATGACATGAGAATTACACTGCGTTACACACACACACACACATATTTTATGAAATAAAATCACGAACGTGCCCCCTCCTCTCCCTCACCATCCTTATCCCCAAACGAAATGAAATGCACTAAAAACACATGATGACCGTTTATAATAATAATGATGATTGTTTTTTTTCCTTGAAAAATAAAAACAAAAAAACAAAAACAGAAAAAAATATGGGTATTTTGAACTTCATTGCCTGTCATATGTCATATATTGTCACGGTGGTTTTATTCGGGTTATCATGGTTGTTTTTGTTATTGTTGTTGTTGTTGTTGTTTCAAATCAAATCATAAGACATCCATTCATATACACATGATGATGACATGATAATCATCATCATCATCATTGTGAATAATAATGATTCATCAACGTATATGTAATAATGAAGTAAGGAAGAAAAAAATCAAGATTGTGAGTGAGAGAGAGAGAACCTGTTACCTGGTGACGATAATGATGCGGCAATAGATGATGTTAATGAAGAATTATCATTTTGCAGCATTTGATTTCTCATGATGATGATGATGATGAAAAAAAAAAATCTGCAATTCAGTTATACCATCATTCAGTGTGTGTGTGTGTGTATGTTTTGTTTGGAGACCTTGAGTCATCATCATCATCATCATCATCAGCATCAGTTATCATCATTTGAAATCTAAAGAAACTCTCTCTTCTTCTGGTACATCATCAGTGAAATCATCATCATCATCATCATCATCTTTCAACAATCTGGCAAGGTACAAAACTCTTTTATTTTCAAGATGTGAAAAAAAACAAGAAATTTTATTATTTAAAATGATGATGATGACGATAAAATCAAACCAAACCAGCATGTCCTTGATGATCATGATTCTTGATTCATTTAATAGTTGACTAAACTAGTGGAAAATAAAAACTGGATCCATTTAAAGATATTATTACCCCCGGGTTGGTTGGTTGTTGTTTGGTCGATATTCTGTACATACAAAACCTTTTTCACACACACACACAGAACAACAACAGATTCAAAAAACAACAAAAACAATAAATAACCGGTTGATGACTAATATTCGAGAGCAAGGAAAATGAAATAAAATGACGATGAAGATATACGAAATGGGTGGTGTTTGGTTGGTTGCTAAAACTAAAAATTTTCCGCTCTAAATCAACCGGGGGTAACCATTACACAACCAGACAAAACCAATTGTTGAATGAATCATGAAAATATGAATCACCAAAAATGAATATATGAATAAATGTTCATTTGATTTAATCATCATCATCATCAATGGTTATCGATTAATCAGAAATTTTTTTATTTGTAAAAAAAACCACAACAGATTATTATTTGGTTCAATCATAGAAAACAACAACAACACATGTCGTTCCCCGCATTTTGATTGGTTTCTTGGTTCGAGAGGCCAGAAAAATTTTTTTTTTATTTTGGCTTGATTGACAGCGGCCGGATTTATGATTATCTGAACATTATCATTTAGTGGATTTTCAATCGACACGCTTCATACACACACACACACACACAAAAAACTTTTTATTATCCCTAAATCATCGATAAATAAATGGGCTGTTGTTGTTGTTTGATCTGGGGTCTGTACACAGACAGAAAAAATTGATGGCTATTTATTTGGTTTTATAAAAAAAACGATTTATCAGCAATTTGATCTTGAAATGTAGCAAATAAAAGAAGAAAAAGAAAAAATAATCGTCATCATCATCATCATCATAAACATTTGTTTTCGGATTTTTTAAAAATCCTCTGAAAAAAAAGAATAGGATTTTTCGATATAAAAATTTTTTTCATCAGAATCGATCAGAACAATTTTTTATCACAGACCAGGACAGGTACCCGTTTTATCTACCACTACTGAACGATTTAGTAGTTTTTTTTAAAAATCAAAGGTTTATGGAAAATCAAAACCAAGAGAAAAAAAACAACAAAAAATCAGTGTTTTCAAATTTCAAATCACACACACACACACACAAAAAACCACTCACAGACGGTGATGTTAAAAAAAAATCATGACATCAAAGATAAATCTCCAAAAAAAGAGAAATCGACCAACCACCGATCCATATATATATTTTATTATTATACAAATCTGCATATCTGATATGTCGATGTTATCATCATCATCATCATCATTTTTTTTTTTTTCAAGGGAGAAAAATAAAAAATCAAGATCGGTTTTTTTTATTTACCATCATATTTCTTTTCGGTAAAATCGGTTATTTATCATCATTCATTATCATTATCATCAACAACAGCAACAACAAAAAAAGGCTTTTTTTTGTGGCCATTTGTCACTCATTAGAGGGTTAATAGATTTTTTTCACTCTTCACTCATTTTCAAGGTTCATCTTATAAAATCCAAACGATCTAAAAATGGATGGAATGTTGTTGATGATGGTCCACCAACCATCAATTGATTAAAATGAAATAACCACAATAAAACAGAAAAAAATGACATGAAAATATAAATTTCTTTTGGCTGCCTGTTTTTTTTTTGCCATCATGAAAATATTTTTATCAATTTTTTTGTTTTGTTTACTGTGTGTTGTTGTTTAATGGCCTCGTTGAAATGATATCACCACCACTTAACCACAAATAAATTTATGATGAAATGATGATAATCACCACCATTATCATTATCATCATCATCCATTTAATTATCATTAAGATCAATGGTCAATATAAATGTGTACAATTATAACCATATATCACATGCAATACGTCATATACATGTATATTGTCAATAAATCAACCAGAAAAAAACCCAAAATAAAAAAAAATTAATTGAACGATAATAATCAATACACCCTAAGTATTATACAACAATGATGATAATTGATAATGTTATCATCATCATCATCATTTGTTGTTGTTGTTTTTTGGACCAGAATTTATATATTTCATTTAAGCTCAGAAACACAATCATCATCATCATCATCATCAAAACATTGATTAATTTAATTGGAAATCAACACATTCTATGGAAAATCAATTTCATGTGATTGATTTTCAATTTTTTTTATTCTATTTTATCATATCAAATGATGACAAGTGAAAAAGATCATAATTTTTTTTTTGGTTAAAAACAGAAAAACAGAAAACTCAACTACTCATAAAGTAAATCAAATCATCAAAAGATTTATTACATTATTATATATCTGTGTGCTCTGAATATATATTGATAACTTGTTGCTTTTGCCGATCATTTCTTTTTTTTTTTTTGCTCAATCTTTAGAAATTATCGTTTTTCCACATGAAAAAACCGATAATTTCTCGGTTTTGTTGTTGTTGTTGTTGTTGTTGTTGTTGTTGTTGTTGTTGTTGTTGTTGTTGTTGTCTCTATTGGTGATAAGCCGGAAAAAAAACAGAACACAATCATTGTTTTATCAATCAGGAACAGCAGAAATAAAATACACATATTATCACCAAAGTAACCGATGCGATGATGATTGGAAATGAACTCAATTTTTTGTATTTTTCTATCTAGCTCGGGTTGCTGTGTTGTTTTTTTTTTTGTTTTAACTAAACATCAAAAAAAATTTGTAACAAATGCAAAATCAGGTAGCATTTTGGATTTTAGTTTTTTCAAAAAACAAAAACATTTGACAGTTTAATCACACAGCAAAAAAAAATCCATATATCGATCAATCAATCAATCGGATGGGAAAAAACCTGTTGAAAAGCAAAAGAATTTTGAATTTTGATTCAATTTTTCTATTCTGATGATATTTTAAATCATTCGGATATGATTCATTCGAGGTTCCGTTACTTATTACTTGCCACCACCACCACAACCACCAACAACAACAACAACAATAATTATTGCAACTTGAGATCTATTCTTAGTTTATAACAAAATATTGATAAATTCCGAGAAACACAATCCCAATGATCTCCATACATCAAATCAACAACAACAGTAAATGCTCCTATTTTTTTTTTTTTTAAATTTCCAAGTAATGTACGAAGGATAAGAACCTAACCCAAAACCCAACAAAACAAGTACTGTTCTGATTTTTTTTTTTTTTTGACCTTTTCATCAAAGGGATTGGCAAATTGTTATTAATGTTCTAATATCTCTCAAGTAACCAAATGATTTTTTTTGTTGTTGTTGTAAAATTATAAAAAATGAAATCATTTTTTTTTTTTAACTTACGTTTGGCATAAGAAATGACAAATAAAAATTGTAATAAACATATAATACAGATAATGTGATATTTGAATGATTCAAAAATAGATTTTTTCGTGTTGGCGTTTTCATATGATGATGACGATGTTGTTGATGATGATGATGATGATGATGATGATGAGGAAAAGGTGATGAACTTTGCCATCGTTGTTGTTGATGATGATGACAAGGAATTTTCATTCAATAAAACTTGATTTTGCATTCTATTCATTGTAATGATGTTGTTGGAATTCATTTTTACATCATCAGATCATTATTTATAAATATAACTTTTATAAAACACGGAAATATTTAAACACACACACACCACATAGACACACAATATACAAACATGGAGAATAAAAAAAAAAAAAAAAATTTACCGTTTTATCAACAAGCCATGGTCAAAAAAAGTTTTTCTATTTTTTTTTCGGCGCGTAATTGTTTTGTTATATATTCTACAATTGTAATCGATAATCAAAAGATTCGAATTTTGAATATTCTTCAAAATGACCATATGCGTGTTCAAACATTGGTGGTACTGGTAAAAATGGTGGTGGTAACCAATCAACGATCATCAAGAAAAAATACTGCATAGCAACTTATCATTGTGAAAAGAAACTAATCGACACACACACACACAAACTATGAATGAAGTATATATGAATTTCGAAGAAAATAAAGTCGAAGAAAAACACATTGTATATATGGTGATGATGATGATGATGAAGGCAACGGCTACCCGTTGAAAGTCTATACAACATTAAATGTATACTGCTGCTGCTGTTGTTGTTGTTGTTGTTGTTGTTGTAGCTCACAAAATCCAAATAGAATCTTTATAAATTTATATATCAAAAATGATAGTGGTCTATACAAATGTTATGTTATGATTCAATAATATATATGTGATGATCAACATAAAAAAACTTGTTGCTTATCTTGCTTATAATATATATACATTGCTATGCAATGCTTTCTTTCTCTCTTGGTGTTTTTTTTTTTTTTTGTTCGTGATTTTCTTCGTTGTTGTTGTTGTTGTGCTTGAAGTTTCGACGAAAAAAAAAGCGCGGACAAAAAGGTGAAGAGAGAACAAGACAGCTTGTTCTGATTTTCGAGACTTTGAATTCAATATAAATAATATAATACCTACCTACTACCTTTGTGCATGTGTATGACCTCTCTTTTTTTTCACCTCTCATTTTCATTATAAACAATCTATAACCACCAGGTGAGGGGTACTACTACTACTACTACTATTATTGCTGTCTGAATTCAAAATAAAAGCCATTTTTGATGAACCATGGGGTGATGGGGACAACATACACACACACACACACACACACAAGCAAATAAACAACAGGTGTGTTGGTTTTAGTATTAGCGTTTTCTTTTTTCTTTATAATTCATTCTATAAGAAAGGTCGTTCGTGTTTGTTAAGTACATAAAACGAATTGAAGAAGTAGAAGAAGGAAACTCCCTGCTGGTGCTACAATTGCACATTTGGATTTTGTGTGTGTGTGTGTGCACAACAATATTCAACAATTGTACACACCTGAAAGATAAAGTTCAGGTAATCATATTGATCGTATAGCGTGTGTGTACTTATCGAAACAATCTAAACCCAAAACTAATGGCTGTAAATTATCATTACTATCCATATGGTCATCATCATCATTTTTTTGGACCTTGATCCAAAACAAAACAAAAAAAAAACAACACAAAAAGAGAGCCTATTGAGATTCGGCTTTGTGTTGTAATTCAAAGAATATTCGACAAGGGAATGAAAATGAAAAAAAAACGGAAATGTAATCATCATTATTGTAGTCGTCGGAAACTGTTGAACCATAACGAGAAAAAAAAAAAAAAACATACAAACATACACGCACACACACACACATAAAAGTCAGTGATCTTTACCATTTATGCGGCTTGTGTGTGTGTGTGTGTGTTTGAAAGTCTAAAATCAATAAAACAAAACTCAATTACCTACCCACGTACACGTACACACAAAAATATTGATTCCGGATGATTGATTCTATTCGAATTATAGGTTGTATATATTCTTGATTCAATTCCATATATATTTTCTAAAAACATATCATGGACCTCTGGAAATTTTTTGTTTTTGAAATACGAAAACAAGAAATTTTCTCATCGATTTTTGAGGTGTCCATGACATGATGATCCATATTTTAAATCAAAACAATCATCATCATCATCATCATCAATGAATGAATGAATTTAATGAATCATGAGATATAGAAGATTTCTATTCATCATCATTCTCATGATGATGATTTTGATGACAGAAATAATCATATCATATCATCATCATCATCATCATCCTGTTGTCAGATGAATTTTTTTTGATTTGATTTTATGATGATGATGATACCTGTTGCTGTTTTTTGTTGTTGTTTTGTTGTATCATAATAAAAGCAAAATTTCTGTCCATGTAATAATTATTATTATCAAATATAATGGTGTATGGAATACACACACACACACACACATGGTGGATTCATGGTGACAATAATTTTTAGTCAGTTGTTGTTGTTGTTCATGATTATTTCGAAATGTGGGAATGTATGATGACAATGATGCTACAAGCTCATGGTCATCATACATTTATGGCCTGTGTTTAAATATGAAAACAAAAAAAAACCAGGTAAATATCTCACTATTTCCCACTTTTACATTCAACATTGTCATCATCATCATCATCATCATCATCATGAACATGTTGATAATCGAGAGTGAATATGAATGACGGATCATGATATTCATGTATATCACACACACACACACACACACTTGAAAATTGACAATATCATCATTAGAAGAAAAAAAAACTTGATGTATGTGAGAATGGTTAATGTCAACAACAACAACAACAACAACAGCGAAAACAAAAAAAAACTGAATGAAAAGCTGTTGGAAGGGAAAATAAAACTGTGAAACTGGACAGAAAATGAAATCCAAAAAACAAATTCAAGTGAATTCAAAAAAAAATAGAAAATTGTCAAATGTGAAAATTGTCAAATTTTTCATTTGTGTTTACAGACACACACACACACACACACAATATATCGCTTACACTGAATGATGATGATGACACTTTCAATTCTTTTATACGGGTCAAGATTTTAATGATGATGATGATGATGGAAGTTCATTTTTCATTGTTTCATCATTTATAAAGCGTGTATGTGTGTGTGTTGAGAATAAAAATGGACGAAAAAAAATGGAGCAATTAAGATTAATCATAATTATATCGGAATTATCATTTTTTTGGTCATTTTAGCCATCCACCACCACCACCACCATCATCATCGAGATCAACGCCACGGGTGATGGACAAAATGATGATGATGATTAGTTTTTTGTGATTCGGTCAAGATTATCATGTCTTTCCAATTACCGACAAAAATCTTGTGATTTGATTTTTATCATTAAAAATTTTTTTTTTTTTTTGCAATTAATCATCAAATATGAACACAAAAAAAAATTAACATTGATCCGGTCGATGACATAATAATAATAATAAAAATGTTGATGATGAATAGCAGACCTTTTTTATTATCACCATCATCATGATCATGTCATGTCGTCTTGTTTGTCTAGTCCATCGATTTATATTGCTTTTTAAGGACACATTATTATAATGAAGAAAGATCCCTTATAAGGGGAATATTCATCATCATCATTATCATCAAGATTCGGTGTGTGTGTGTGTGGTGAATTGTGTAGTTCCGTTTTGTCAATGACTGCCATCTATTAGAATCAGGAATAAACGAATGAAAAATTTTTTCTGGAAAACTAAATTTTGCAATTTGAAAGAATTTTCCTTGGAAAATGTTTTTTATTGTGTCTAAATACAATCACATGTGTTCGATTTATATTATTGAATTTAAATTTTTGTTTTCCAGGTAAATTTTGGTATTTGTGAAAAATGAATCAATTTTTTGCTACTGCAAAGAACATATTTTTAACGATTAAATATTGTAGACTTTCTCTATTCAATTTGGATAATTTTCTAAATCGTAGGTGTTGAAATTATTTTTTTTTTAAGAGAAAAAAATTATGACAACTTTTTTTTCTTCTTTTTTTACCGTAGGTGCTCCACCAGCTCTAGTGATTGTTCAATCATCTTTGCCCAATATTTCAAATGGTGGTTCACCGACATCCATTAATGATTTAATGCAAGATGGATTATTATGGGGTGTGCCAAAAAAACGTAGAACCATTGAAAAACGATTAAAACGAAGATTTGGTGTTGAAAATTATCCATCGGATGCAAAGATATTGAGAACAAGAAATGATATTATCATTTGTGAACGATGTGGTGATCATCATGAATATTATGCAATCTGTCCAACATGTTATCGTAAAGTTAAAGAAGAAACGGAACGAATGCGCGATGCATTAAGTAAACAAACGAATCCATTGCAACCGAAAGAAAAAGATGTTTTATTTCGATTCGAAAATGAAAAAGATGAACAAACATCATCATCCACTAGTCATCATGAAGAGGAATTAAAACGCGAATTTGAAATCATTGACATTGATCATCCACGTCCACAATGGTTTAGCCGTAATCTAATGACAAAATCTACTGGATCTAAAAATTATGATCCAAAAAATGTTATCATAGATCCAAAAGATTTCATTACAAATAATGAGAATAATAATAAAAATTGATTCCATTCACTATTCATCCGTTAAATCATCATCATCATCATGGAATTCATTTTGTTGTATACAAAAAAAAAATTTTCATTTGAATAGAAAAAATATGAATATTAATAACAATAAAGATTAGTACAAGGAAAATTTTCTTTACTTTTTTTGTTGTTCATTTCCATGGGAAATTGATGATGATTCTAATTACGATGATGATGATCATGATGATGACAATACAGCAAACAAGCACGAGGTCATTTCATCGTCTTTTTTTTCTTTATTTTATTCATTCAATAATAATAATAATCGTCATTGGAAGAAATAAATTAATCTTTTTGAATAAAATTTTTAACAAATTAATTAAATGGAAAATAAAATTTTTCTTTTTTTTCGAAAAAAAAAGATTCAAGATGTAATGTAATAATATGTATGGGACGGACACAATCGTGTGTGTGTGTGTGTGTGGGTGTTTGTTTATTTTGGTGATTCGAATTCAAGTTAAAATAGTAGTAGTAGTAGTAATAGTAGTAATAGTAATGGTAGTAGTTAACAGAATTTGTTTTATCGCAAATGTGATATGATGATTTACAGAATTATAATAACACAAGATATATAGATTAATAATGATCGTTTTTTTTTTTTGGTTTTTTGATTAAAGATAGATTTAGTTTTAGGCACTTTAGAAAAAAAAAAATGGTTAAATGTTGATAAGTTCAATTTGTTGGCATCGATTTTTTTTTTATTTTGTGCGTCGATATTGTTAAATTTGTTTTTTTGTTATCGATTTGAAAATGACAATTGAAAAAATCAAGAGAATGATGATGATTATGATTATGAATGAATGTATGAATGAATGAATGACTATCATCGACGAGAAACAGGCAACAAAATATGGCAATATAACAATATGTCAAGTATAACAAAATGAAGGCCGATTCTTGATAATGTGTAATTTTTTTTTGTATTGAATTATTGATTAAAATTTCCTTGATGATAATGTGGATGATGATGATGGTTATTATTGAATGTTGTTTGATCTTGTTGATAATAGGTATTATTATATTGCTGTACTGATGTAAAACCATAATCTTTTTCATCCGGTGGTCTATTACCATATTTGGCACGATTAATGGCAGCCAATTTTTCTCTTGCTTCAACTAATTCTCGTTCTTTTTTCAATATTTCTTCACGGGCAACAATCTCCTGTGTGATTCCCTGTACACGACGTTTACTTATGATTAAATTTTGTTCCTCTTCTTGTTCGATGGCCTGTTGTGCAGCACGAACCAAATTGTCCGTTGCTTTTTTCACAGCATTTCCGGCCGTCTGTAAACGTTTCATTGCTTGTGATTCTGGATCAGCTTTAACTTTACAAGCGACTAATAATTGAGCCGTTGAACTGGCTACTTGTTTGGCAGCGGAAATCAATTTCTCTTCAGATGCTTGACCTAACACTAAAGCATTGGCAGCTTCAACTAAACTATGCGTAGCAGCAGCCACGTGTCGAGCAGCCGAAATAAGACCCTCTGACCATTGGCTGTCATCAGAAAATTGATGTACACCATGAGCATCAACTTTACCAGTGGCCACCAATTCTTTTTGAGCATTTGATGCAGCTCGAATAAGCATAGCCGTTGCCTGTGTAATAGATTTGGCTGCTTCCAAAATGATTTCATCAAAGTTCATGTCTTCATCGGGCAACTAAAAAAAAAGTAATGGATAGATGAATAGAAAAAAAAATTAATGGATGATGAGTCAACTCATTAAATGAATCAATTAATCATTTGAATGAATGAATGAATGATGAGTCATATCAAACGTTTGGATTATATGTCTGATTCTTGGTTGATTGTATAACTTTTTACAACCAAGAATATCAAACATATCACCAAATGAATGATTGTATTATAAAAAAATAAATACATTGAATGAATAAATGAATGAATGAATGAATCATATTTTTCTTACCTTAATACTATTTATTCGAGGTTGTAGATTGGCAAGTTTTTTTGCTGCCAGATCGATCGATGAGGCAGCGCCCAATAATTCATTTTCAGCAATAACGGTTGGATCTTCAGGATCAACCCAATCAACGCCTTTCAACATTTCTGCTAACGATACAATCTCTGTAACTGAAGCGGCTATTGTTCGTGACATCTGATATAATTGCTGTTTAACATCATTGACATTGGTTGGACGTTGTAGAATATGGAAAGATAATTTTCAACAATTCTTGATAGTCTTGTGAACATTTCTTTCCAGCATCAATTATTCTCATTTTAAGTTCTTGATTATCGGCCAACAAAGCAGCTGACTTGCACACCTGCAATAGATCGTGTATAGCTTTTCTACCCATATTGGCGACGACAATAATATCATCTTGTTGTCCACTAGTACCAGCAGCAACAGCTTTCGCTGTAGCCATCGTTACAGGTTTTGTTGCACGAATCAAATGTTCTGGCGTAACATCTTGATTAATATACATGCTACCACTTTCATAACTACGAATTTCGCCTTCAATTCCATCGATGGTTGCTTCCAAAGCACGTGTTCCTCTTTGTTGTTCATCTTCAACAGTTTTCACTGTTTTCAATAATGATGTTACATTTGTTACCATAACCTATGAAAATAAAACAATTAGAATATAAAAGAATTGGAATAGGGAATAGAATAAATTTACTTTGGCTGAATCTTTCAGATGCATCATTGCAGGATCGTTAATATTTTTACCAGAAGCCGTTTTGGTTGCATCAATCAATTCGTTCAATGCAATGGCAACATCTTTGACAGAATTCAACAACATTACTTGAGCTTCCGAATTATTCGATCCTAATGTGGCGGCACCTTGTTTAACAGCGGTTGTCAATTGTGTGATCGTAGTAACGGCATTTTGAGCAGCAACAGCTAATGCTTCCTGACTGGAAGCGGCACCAGCCACCAATGTTTTGGTGTCTTCAACCAAAGCTTTGGCCGTTTTGAGAATTTCATCCTTATAAATACCAAAAGAATCATTTGGATCTTCTGGATTCAGGGCACCAGAATTGGCAAACAAAATCGTTGTATCAATATCGCCAATAATTCCTTGTACTGAATTTGCCGCCATAATACAAGCCTGAGTTCCACGTGATCCGGCTTGAAATGCGGCCAAAACATAGGAACATTTTTCGGAAACATTTCGAGCACTGTCAGTCAATTCTCGTTGACTATAAGTATCACCAGGATTTGTCAAACAGGAACCAGCATTTTTTACGATATCAACACATGCGGTACCAAGTTCTTGTACACTACTTTTAATACGTGATGCAGTCTATTTGTTTTATTGTATGCAACAACAACAACAACAACAACAAAAAAAAATAAATAAATGTGAAATTCTTTTCTGGCCGAAATAAAAACAAAACATACCTCGATATTATTTGTGGCAGCAGCAATACCATTGACGTCATTTGCTAAATTAGCATAATTTTCGGATAGTCTTGTGCATAAAGCACCAAGTTGTGATACTTGGGTTGCAGATTTAGCACTCTAAAAAAAGAAACAACAACAATAACAATTAATTAGACTGACTGATGATCATCATCATCATCATCATTAGTATCTCACTTACCATATCTTGTGCTATTCTTGCAATTTCTTTGACACAGGCTACCATTCTTGTTTGATAGTCCACATAGGAAAGATTATCCGGACTGGATCCATTCGAATATGCATATGATCGTTCTTCGATTCGTGTCAATGATTTTGTCAATTGTTCAACAATACTGTTAACATGTCCTTCTTCTGATGCGGCTGATTGCATTAGATTTTCGTAATTCTTTATAGCATTTTTCATATCGGCACTTGAATCTTCAATTTCGGCATGCAATGATGTTGCTTTTGGATTGCCACCACATTCTTTTACCGTATATATTAATTGTAATGCACTTTCACATACACCTTTTGATTTGTCTAAAATTTGATTCTGTTGTTTATCATCTGGTATTTTCGATGCATAACCAATTGAATTGGATGTCAATAGATCAAAATAATTAATCAATTGTGTTATAGCATGTCCCAATTTTTCTGCTTTCGATTTTCCGGCCACACGAACTGGATCAATGTTTTCTTTGATTTCCGATAATGAAGCACTAACTGCTTCACGGAATCCTTTCGGTGTATTATCATTACGAACTTGAAGCACTTTATTGATTGCATCCAATGATGATTGATCCAATTTTTTGATACATGAGCCCAATTTTTCCAACGCATCATCACATTCATTTTGACCAGGCGAAGCATCCTTAATGGATGTGACAAGTTTTTTGATTGAATCACTAACATTTTTACTATGATTAGCCAATGTTTGCCAACCAGGTGGATCTTTTGGATTGACAGCCAAAGTTTTGGCCGACATAATCATATTGGATGAAGCATCGATTATTGCTTTACCATAGGTGGTGATTGGTTGTTGTGTTTGACGTGCTTTTGGACTGATTTGTGCCGGTACAGATGCAAATTCCGGACTGTTTGCAAATGAAACCAAATTATCGACCGATTCGAGCAATGGTCGTGTGGCAAGTCGACAATTTTCATTCACATGTTGTGCGCTGGATTCTTCCAATGGTTTGATCTCTTTGATCAATGTTGCTGTTGCATTGGCAACATCTTTGGCTGATTGAACAAAGTTCTTTCGATGATATGAATTCTGTGTTTTTGCCGATGCAATACGACATGCATTACATAGATTAGATGTGGATTTAGCAATATCAGTTGCACAACGTATTATCTGATCTTTGGTTGCATTCGGTGATGTTAATTGTGCACAAGCATTATGGATTGTTTCTTGACTTCGATTCAATAGATTAATGTCAATAATACCAGGACGGCCAGCCACACTGGTTGGATCGGAAGCACCAACTAAATATGCGGCTTGAGCGGCACCTTCCAAAAGACCACAAACCGAATCCGAAGCATCTTTAACGGATTCACCAAAATTTTCATGTTCATTACGACGAGCATAGTTAGCAATGCCAGTCATAGCATCGCCTAAACGACGACTTTTTTCCGTCACCAATTCTAAACATTCAAAATATGTTGAATCATTTAGCTGAACACTTGGATTATCCAGATATGATCGCATCATTTGAATATTTTGAATAGCTTGATCACATTCTTTTTGGCCAGGAGCCGATAATGAACATACATCAAGCAAATTACTAATGCTTTGTGTAACGGCACGTGCAGCTGTAGCCAATTGACTGCTTGAATTCGGTGCATTCGGATCGGCCGAAACAGTTTTGGCTGACGACAAAAATCGGCTTGATGATGATGATAGCTCTTCCAAGCATGACATGATCTGTTGTTTAACAGCATTGTCATTTGTTTGACCTGAAATTTCATTGCTCAATTGGAACAAATTTGAATAATGATTGGCATAGTTTTTCGATGCTGGTGCCAACTTGGACGGTGAACGTGACGATTCAATCACTTCAGATGTGGCTTCATTCAAACTAGTTGCAGCATTAGAAATATCATTCTGTAGTTCAGCATATGATTTATGTGAATAATGATTATCATAGCTTAATGTACGTGTTGAATCATTGATGGCACGAATAGAATCATCGACATCTTTATGACTTGGCAAACAAATGACACAGTTTTGTAATGCTGACGATAATGACTTGGCTATGTTTGTCAATCGTTGATGTCGATCAGAATCCTGACAATTTTCCAATGCCCAACGAATCTCTTCGAACAATGTTATAGACAATTCGAGTATCTGATTCGAATGATCTAACACTTGCATTTGTACATCACGTTCGGATGCTGTGGCTGCCACACCACGAGCAGCGCTGGTCAAATTTTTCAATGAACTAGTCACCTCACGTGATGCTGTGCCAATATAATTTTGTTCACCTTGTGATGTGGCGCTCAACAATTGTGCCATAGCCGATGCAACCGATTTACATGCCGCATTCAAACGCGACGAACAATGATCAAAATTATCACCAGGCAATGGTTTCAATGCATGTTTCAATGCAGCCATACGACATTCAGATAGTTCAATATTCAATTGACGAATATTGTCGATTGCTGCATTGATTTCATTGGCGAAACTACATGCTTCTGATGCTTTATTCAAACAGCTTCGTAATTCTGATAATGCTTCAGCCAATTGCTGGGCGGACTGTGTCAATTGGATGGAGGCCGACTTATCCGTTATAGTTGGCGACGATGATAACGAAACATTAGCCAATCGAAGAGCAGGACCCATAAAGTTTTCGCATGCATTTATCAATTGAGACTGTTTGCCAGAATTGTTTGGCTCATTGTGATAGGCCTTGATGCTGCTGACCACCGGCGGAATAGTTCCATTCACTTCACGACACATTTGATTCATTTCATTTTGATTATGCGCATTCTGATTATATGGAGCACATCCATGTACTGCAGCAATATTCTGTGTGGCCATAGCGGTGGCGTATTTGGCTGTAGATTCTAAACGATTCATTAGTTTTTGTTTCAATGCATTACTGGCGGCCGTATTCGTAGCATTTCGTAGATCTTCTGCTGCAGCACGTAATGCTGCCTGTGAATTTGAATCGTTTGGATTTGTGGCACATCCTTTAGCAGCTTCTACTAGACGTGATGTAGCATCGGCTAAACTTTTTGCTGCTGAAAGCAAACGTTTTTGAATATCTGAATCTGGTTGTGTTTCGGCTTGACCTTTGATATTCTGTATCAATTGTGAAGTGGCTTGAGCCAAAATTTTGGCCTGTTTAACCATTTCGGAAGCATCACCAGTACTGCTAAACAAACGATCAGTGGCATCCAAAATGGTGTCTACGGCACCATCATCACCTGGTCGTCGATGTCCACGTCCAGTTGCGCCCAATGAACGGACATAATTCAATAGATTATTCAAAGCATCATTAACTTCATTGGCAGCTTGATTGACTTCACCATTTAGATAGGGATCACGAACCGAATCATGACATACACGAGTAATACCATCGACTGCTTTACTAACCTCTTTTGAAGCATCGACAATCTGTTTCTGACAATTCGGACTATGAATAGTTGGAGCAACCACTTTGGCACAAGAAACCAGTTGCGATGTAGCCAAAGCACATTGTGTTGCAGCGCTTATAACACGATTTTTAGCCGCTTGATCATCACATCTGGATGCAACATCTTTGGCTTTTAGGACCAGTTTGGCTGTTGCATTAGCCACCGGTTTTGATAAACTAAGCAATGTATCGGATGCTTCTCTATCAATATTATCATCATCGATGTTATATAAAAGATTCGATGTAGCATCGCTCACTTTATTGGCCGCTGTAATCAGGTTTTGCCTTGGTACATTATTCGATGGTTCGGCTGCTCTCAATAAATCTGAAAAAGCGTTACATAAATTTCTGGCCGCATCAATCAATTTGTCACCACGATCATGATCATCAGTCAATGCAGCAATCATTTTAACATCTTTAGCCATTGCAGGTAAATTGGTTGTTATTGTACTGATAGCCGCACCCAAAGCAGGATGATCAACCTCTTCTTCGGGTACTGAAGTCAATGTCAAAACTTGGGCTGTGGCTGCATTCAATGCGGCCATCTGTGATGAAACAGTCTCTTTTTTCACATCTAATTGATCTTGTTTATAGCCTAAATCAGGACCATATTCAGGTATAATGGCTTTTGAATCCAATTCATTCAATGCTTTCTGTACGGCATCTTGTCCAGTACCAATAGTGCCAAGCAATGCACGTTGTGGATCCGATAGACCAGTTTGTAGATATTTTGGATGTTGTGCAGCCATTACTGGTGATTGTGTTAATGGTGCTTGCGATTGTACAACTGGTATCTGTTTTACTTCAGGTATTTGATCTACTTTTAAAACTTGTGGACCACCAGTACCGCCAGTACGAATAATACCAGGAATGGCAACATCTTCAATTATCGGTTTCGATGGTTTAGCATCCGGTTGATGTTGCATAATGGTTGCTTTGATGGTGATACACTATCTTCAATCATTGCCGAACCTTCATCACCATCGATACCAAAATGATCTTTGGCTTTTTTACGTCGTAAAATTATATCAATATAGCCACCAATCAATTTGGAAATTTGTTCACCTTCGGTTGTTTGTACTGAATAATAGCTATCTGAATAATCACCAAAATCCAATGTAAAACTATTCGGTGTTGGTGCCCATCGTTTCACTGTTGTTAATGGCCATGTTTTCAATATTTCTTTAGTTTTTTCATCCAACCGTAATACACTGTCTTTAGTGACGCCCAACAATCGTGGTACTAATTTATTTTTACCTTGCATTTTTTCTTTAACCAAAAAAAATGTAACACCATATGTTTTCAATAATCTTGCTTTGGTTACATAACGAACTTTGGCTTCAACATTGCTAAGGCCACGATGATTTTTATGTTCAATGAATATTCGTTTTTCAGCATTTTTTTGTTTACCATAATCTCTTGGTAGATAATTTTTTAGATCAAGAAATCCAGATTTATGTTTAGTTTCCACATAATCACCATGATCAATTTGACATTGAATGCCGGCAAATTCACATGCCTGTTCCATTGTCACCGGATGTGTACCATTAATGATGGCATCACGTGTTTGTACATACAATAAATGTAATTGCATCGGATCACGTGAATCAATATTTTGATCTGAATAGAAATATTTCCGACGAAATATCAACGTCGTATTCGGACCAATATCTTGTTCGTCCAATGTTTTCATATGATCAATCCAATTCATATCATCATCGATTTTTAATTTACGTTTTAATTGTTCCATTTTTTGATCCTTATTTTTACGCAATGTATTACGCATCAATGTACCACCACCACCAGTACCGGTAACACCATTCATTGTTCCATTCATATTTTCAAAATTTTCATTATTTTCCATTTCACGACAAAGTGAATATTCTTCATAATTGGCCACACCTAATTTATCGCAAATAATTGGCATTAGATTTTCAATTATTTGACTTGAATCAACATTTATTGTTTTTATTGATTCATCCAATAATCGGATTTTTAATGGCCTCATTTTATTACGAAATTCAACATTATCATCATCACGTAATAGATAATATTGTAGTTCACGTTCTGGATCAAGCCAGAATCCAGTTTTGATTCCATTTTCTTCTTTGAAAAAATACAATGCATAATCGGTACCTATATTTATAAACAAAATAAACATGCAAAACAATCGGTTATAATCGATTTCAATATATGAAGATAAATATTTTAAACATTGATACACAAAAAAACTCAGAAAAACTTACTTTTACCCATTTGTGCACGGCGATCATTTTGTTTTGAATAAATTTCTTCAATAGCTTTTTTCACCTTTAACGATGAATCCAATTGAATTTTTTTGACAATTTCAGGCGATTCTGGACCACCAGTAAAATGTATTTTCAATGATGTTTTAGGCATTTTTTTCGTTTTTATTTTAATTTTTCACATTTATGATTAACAACCAAAAAAAACATTTAAGGCATCTGTTGTCTACGAACGATTGTGAGAATCACTCAGCATAAAACAAAAATTTCGATTTTTTCACAGTGATATGTCGATTTTTTTTTCGATCTAAAATATAAAACAGAATAGAAAAAAAAATGAAGATTGCTTGTTAGACGATTCAAATAAAAAAAATCTGCTTCAAACCAAATTGAGCAAACACACACACACACGGACAAAGTGATGACACAAATTCGAAATACAATGACATTTTGGACAATAAACCAAAAAAAAAAGAACACGTGTTTGCATGTTATAATAAAAATGTTTCAATCATCAAAATGAATGTGTTCCGTTCGTCGGTCCGTCCACACACACAAACACAAACATAAACACACACACGCGACACACACTTATTCTGTTTAAACATTAAAATCAAAATCTAATGGTGGCTACCGAACCGAACCTTACGGATCATCAGACACACACACACACGCAGAATGACGAATGAATTTGATTCTGGGAAGCAATCAGAATATCATATCATAGAGGACAGAAAGACAGAAAAAAAGTCAAGTTAAATTAAGTTTCGCATCAACAAATTTTGAATGAATGAATGAATGAATGAACAAATGAATGAATGAAAAAAACGAGAGGGGGGCCATTCATATAAATAATTTAATTATCATCATCATCATACTCAATTCTGGTGATTTTCGTTTTCGTTTTCATTTTACGAATAATAACAATGACGATGACAGAAAAAAAAACAATCATAATAACCATTTTTATGATTATTTTCGTTTTTGTTTTCATCGTTCAACGATTTGAAATTATTATTCCTATATCTAGTCTATAGATTTCAATGATGATGATTTGGACTATGGTTGTTTTGGTGGAATCCTACAACTACCACCACCACCACTACTACTACTATCACTTCTATTAACTAAACATCATCTTTGCTGACAAGCAAACAAATTCATTATTTCATTGAAATGAATGATAAAACAAATGAACCTCGAATTGATTATGTTGATGTTGATGATGATGATGATGATGGAATTGAACGAAATGTGGAGAACAAAAACTAATTTAATAAATGGAATATAAATCGATGAACCAAAAAAAAAAAAAAAAAAAATGAAACGATAAATCTATGAATTTTGAACCAGAAAATAAAAAAAAAAAAAATGAAAATTAAACACACACACAATTTGTATTCAAATGTCACCAATTTACCAAAATCATCAGTGGCAAAACAAAAATAAATTGATGATGATCAAAATCGAAATCGAAATCAAAATTGAACAAAACAAAACAAAACAAAAAAAATCGACAGGAAAAATAAATGTTTTTTTTTTTATCTATTCACAAGTAAATTGCGGATACGAAACAAAAAAAAAATACTGTGCGTTTCAATGATCATGATGATGATGATGGTTGTGATGGTGGCCATGGACAAATTGTTGTTGTTGTTGTTGTTGTTGTTTTCATTTTTGTGGGGGAAAAACAACAACAAAAGCAATGGTCATAATAACAACAACAAAAAAAAAAAATTCAAGCAAATGAATGAACCATGTACTATAACCACCAACCAGTTGTAAGCAGCTACAACAACAAGGAAAAAAATTTTAAAATCGAAAAATTTTTTTTTACTTGAAAATGAAATTTTGCACTAATTTTTTCCAGAGAAAAAATTGAATCTAAAGGCAATGATTATGATGATGATGATGATGATGATGAAAATTAGGACATCATCATCTTCGTATGATGATGAACAAGAGAAATATTATCAGACAAATAAACGAATTACGAGAATTACATACGAAAAGAAAAAAATGAATACATTACCCATTATACGATTCTGAGTAGTAGTAGTAATAGTCATCGTTGTCATCACCATCATCATCATCATCATCGTGGGCGTTTTAAGAATTGCAATTTGTAAATTGTAGAATCGAAATTTATGAATGAAAAAATGGTGGTGATAATGATGATGATGATTAAGAATTTTTTTTATTTATAAAAATAGAAAATTCATCAAAAACAATGTTGAAATCATCCATTTATTTGGGGCAAATAGAGAAAAATTATTTTCGTCATCTTCTTCAGAAAAACCAGGCAACCAACCGAATCCACCGGCATCAAAATTGTAAATGATTCAATTAGATTTCAATGGTTTTTCTTGTGCATGCAAAAGAAATGGTGAAAAAAAACCGAGACAAAAAATGGTGTTACCATGATTATCAACAACAACAACCACAATCAAAAATGCAAGTGGACAAATTTCTTGAATACAAGAAGAATCTAGAACCAAATCCAAAAAAAAAAAAAAAATCCCAGATCAAATGAACACACACACACACACATAGCAGTGTCAATGATACTAAAAGCGCATGACAACGGTAAATCAAAAAAGAAAAAAAGAATTCTGGGACGGTATTACAGTCGAATATAGCATAGGGCTGGAACATTACAAAACACACACACACACATACATAGTAGTGATCCTGGAACGATTCACGATTCACAATTCATGATGATTGTCGACTTATGATTGGATAAATAATTTCTGTATTGAGATTCATGTGTGTATATATATATAGTAAGAATTAGGGAATGATGGAACCAAAAAAAAAAAAACGGTGTGTGTGTGCACGTTTGGGAGCAAAGATTTCTCAGACACATAACGTAAGTATTTGTAGAAAAAAAAATCATTAGTGTGTTTTATATACACGGGCGGTACATATTCAATCACACCATCACACACACACACACAAACATGAAATTAGATGCATTTAAAAAACAAAACGTTACACTATATCGAATTTTATGAGCAAATAAAAAAAAACAAGGCGGATTCTTTTTCTGGTTTTTTTTTGGTTCGTTAGGGGCGGTGTGGAGACCAAAGTGTCCCGAGAATTTTTCAAGACGATCCATACGGATGTGAAAGATGAGAATAACATCAACATCAACATCATCGTTCATCGTTCATCGACCGTGATTCTTTCCTAGAATTTATTATTCGAATGAAAAAATAAGAGGAAACGGAAATGGTGCGCTCAATTTCAACAAAAAAACAAATTGCAGTTGCGTAATAAACAAAAAAAAAGTGATCGACCATTACATCAACAACAACAACAACAACGATACAACAGAAAATCAATGAATTTTTATGATGAAATAAAAAAAAACGAGCTAAATAGCCATGAATGAAGAGAGAATCATCAGAGATGTTTTCGTTTGTGTGTGTGTGTGTATGTGCATCAACTATTAAATAAAAACAAGCAACGAAATTCATTCGAATATTTCCATTTTCATCACAAATGATAATAATAAACCACGAGCAATGAAGAATTCATAAAGAAGAGACCCCTTTCTATGCCATCCAACATACTACAATAGAGAAAGAGAGAGACCGAAAAAAGGACAGCTGCTGCTGGATAATAAATGATGACAAACGAATACGATGAGATTGTTTTTTTTTGGTGAAATGGTAAAAGAAGACAGAATTGGAAAAAAAATAAACGGGAAAGAATCATAGTGAAATTGAGAGAAAGAGAGAGAGAGAGAAAAAAAAATGAAAAGCCAACTGATGCGAATGAGTGTATGACGAATCCAACGAATTCAATGTTTGGTGTCGGTTGTTCATTGAAAATGGTAGTCGGATGAATTGCTTTTATTTTCCAACAACAACAACAACAACAAAAATGATCCGAAAAGAAATATCCATTTTTTCGGGACAAAAAAAAAGAAAAAAATCCACTAGCGTAATGATGATGATGATGATGAAATTTTTTTCTCATTTCCCGAAAGTTAAAGTTGAAAAAAAGAATGATGAAAATAAGAAATTGATGATGCTAGTTGTGGGTTAGGGATTCTGGTTGTTTTATGTTGTGTGTGTGTGTGTGTATCCGGGTGCCCGAATATAAATTTCAAATCAAGTTCATATAAGAATCATGAAACAATTTTGTTTTTTTTTATTTCTTTTTGCTGAAAATTTTAAGAATCGGGTCCTGTTTTTTCGTTTTTTTTTCTGGCTGTTCAGTCATTGGTAAAAGAACAAGCCACAAAATCTTTTTTACAATGACCATTTGATTTTTTTTCTGGTACATTTAATGGTTGTTGACAATAATAACAACAACAACAACAACAAAAAACGATGGACAATCATTAAGGAAACGGAATGAAAATTGTCATTTTTTTCTTATTTTTTTTTTGGTCGTCAAATTTTGGCTTCGGTCATTGTCATCATCATCATCATCATCAATGACATTGGTCGATTATAGTAGTAGTTGTCCACCCGTGAAATGGCATGTCATAACGACGATGACGATGACGACGACAATTTGGCTTCAAAGTTTTGAATGCGACAAATTTTTGTTGTTGTTGTTCTCTTTTTGGTCGATAAATAAATGCCGGATCCAAGAGAATAAAAAAAAAACAAAATTCATTGATAATGAGAGATGCACATCCCATGATGATGAAAATAATGAGATTTAAGAAAACGATTGTTGTTGTTGTTGTTGTTGTGAAAATATTGTCAACAACAACAACAACAACAACAACAACAAACGAAAAAAAAACCCTAAATGACTCTTGGAATCATTATTCTGAAACAAAAAAAAAAAAAATAAAAAGTTTCCCTCTCTCTCTCCACTGGCTGCTAATGTTTATGCTTAGTGTGTGACAATAAATAAGAAAAAAAACGATGTTACAACAACAACAAACAACAACAAAATAATTAATTCATCGACCGAGAATGTAATGAAAAACAACAAAGTTAATGGCCAGAGAGAGAGAGAGAGAGAGAGAGAGAGAGAGAGAGAGATCTCGATCCACAATTTTTTTTTATATTCTCGGGTATATATCCATCCATCCATCCATCCATCCAGCAAAAAAAAAAAAACTTTCAACAGCCAATCAATTAACAAACAACAAGAACAAAGCAAAGCAACAAAAAAAAGTGGCCATAGTTTCATAGCCATATAATAATAAAAAGGAAATGATACATTGATCGAGGGCCATGATGATGATGGGATTGGTCCTTTTTGTTGTTGCTGCTGCTGCTATAATTCTGGCCAATGCACTTAAAGGAATTGAACACAACAGAATGATTGCAATAT